GCCTTCTTTCCTGAAGCTTAGTGGAAACCCCCCAGAGCCTTGAGGCTGGCTGGGAGCCCCTCCCTCCCTCTGTGTGGCGGACTCTCTGAGGGCCCCCCCCCCTCTGACCCACCCCGACCATCCCCCTCCACTACCTCTGTGACACCCACCACCTGCCGCCACCTGCGGAACCCACAGTGTTTGTATTCCAGGGGCTTCCAGCCTCTTTCTTGGGTCTCTGGGTCCTTCCTGTGCGTCCCTCCGCCACGCTGGTCTCTCTATCCCTGCCCTCTCTCTGTGGGACAGTCTCTGAGTATCTGTCCTCCTTTCTCTGGTCTCTGTCCCCCTCTTCCTGGTCTCTGTTCCCCTCCCTCCTGATCTGTTTTCCCTTCATAGGACCGCTGCTACCACCTAGAAGCCCCTCCACCCGGCCCCCATGCCCACCCACCCCTTCTCTCTTTTCTCTTCTCTCTCACTCAGCCACTAACTCACCACCCCTCAGCTAAGCAGGATCAGAGGAGGGGTCTCCAGGCCCACAGGGACCAACGGGGGTCTCTTCTGGGTGCCCTTCCTCAGACTGGCTCCCAGTCTCTGTCCCCACCGCTGTCTCTCAGTCCTGGCCTGGTGGTCCTGTAGGGTTTGGAGGGAAGTGAGGAGACTGGGTTCCTGAGCCCCCTGCTGCCCTCCCCCTCCTCTGTGGGGGAGGAGAAGGTTTCTGTGTATGAGGCGGGCAGGGGGTAGGCTGTGTCTCGGGTGGGCATCACTTGCCTGCTCCCAAACTCCACAGGAGGGTGGGGTATGTGCACATGTGGGTGTGGAGGTGTGCACATGTATCAGGTCATGGGCCTGCGAGTCTTGCGGTGCGGTTGCGTGTCACGTGGACTTGGCGTGCTCTTGAGCCTCAGGTCAGAGCTAGGTGTGCCGTGTGCAGAAACAGGCAAACATGATGACACCAGGCGTATCCGCTTCCTGCAGCTGCTAAAACAGAGCTCCCCGCAAAGCAAAGTGGGTGGGCAGCTTAAGACGCTGGAACTGTGTCTCCCGCCGCCGTTCTACAGTAGAGCCAGATGCCGCCCGGCTTTATGCCCATGGGTCCATTGGAACCCCTTGTCGGACCTGTTGTGTGCACTGATCCCACGGATGTTGTAGCCATTGACTATCCACGGAGGTCCAGCCACTGGTGAGGTGTCCAGATGGGGTCTCTTGACTTCAAGGGCCTCTGGTTGCATTTCCTTGAAGACTGATCCATTCCTTCGCTGCCCCTCCAGGGTGTATTCAATATCCTTTGCCAACGGCGCAAGGCAGGTGTGTGTACTTTTCCCTGGTCTTCCTTTGCTGTCCTCCGCTGCCCAGCTTTTTGGGGCAGAAGGCTAGGTCTTGGGTCCGGAAGTGTAGCATCCAGAAGTCAGAGGTCAACCCTGTTGCTTCCTTCGGAGGGCACTGAGTGAGAACCCCTCCCCGGGCTCTAGCCTCCTTTCCAGGGTGGTCAGCCACCCTAGACTTGTCAACGCATTACTGCACCCTGCCTCTGCCCTTGTGACTGCCTTTCTGTCTTCTGGGCCTCATTCTCTCTTTTATCAGGACCACCAACATCCTAGGATTAGGACCCACCTACTCCTGGTTCCTGGAGCCCTGGTGGCATAGCGCGTTAAGTGTTGGGCTGCTAACCACAAGGTTGGCGGTTTGAAGCCACCAGCCGCTCCTTGGGAGACAGGCGAACCTTTCTATTCCCGCAAAGCATTCGTCTAGGAAACCCACAGGGGCATCTCTACCCTGTCCTATAGGGCCGCCTCCAATCGGCATTGACAGTGAAAGTGGAGGCAGTGGCTTGGTGGGTTAGGTATTGGGTTACTAACTGCAAAATCAATGGTTCGGGCCCACCAGCCTCTCCAAAGGAGAAAGATGAGGCCTTCTGCTCCCATCAAGATTTACAGTCTCCGTGTCCCTGTGAGTCAGAATCGACTAGGGGCAATGGGTTGGGTTTTGTTGGTCGAGTATCAGGAGACCCGAGGGGCAATGGCTCAGTGCTTGGCTACTGCCTAAGGTTGGTGGTTCAAATCCAGCAGCCACTCCATGGAAGAAAGATGAAGCTGTCTGCTTCCATAAAGATTACAGCCTGGGAAACCTTACAGGGCAGTTCCACTGTGTCCTTTTGGGGTGTCTCTGAGATACAACGTTCTGAGCGGCAACAGCTTTTGGTTGCTTTTTAATTTTTTAATTAAAAAAATTTTTTTTAACTTTTT